AGAGGTGCAAGTCTGCTAACTGATCTTTAGAACGAGGCATGAGCAATAGGCATGTGGCAGTGAAGTGTTGCCTTTCGGTCAACTACAGAGTGAGAAAGCAATGCATACAATCCTGCATGCTGTGCAGGAATATGCTACTTTGCCTAAAAGAGAGAGTTGCTTTGCTCCCCACTCCTTTGCTTAGACATTTTATATTTGAAAGAAAACACGAGACAAAGAAAGATATGTAAAAATTCCCTAAGAAGTAAAAGAAGAAAAAATCAATGCTAACATAAATAATTCTGAATATTATGTATAATGAGACTAGGCACCTATAATAAGAGAATTTTGGATGTTATGAATGGTGTTGGTTCTTTCTGTGCAAAGAAGACCTTTTAAAACAACCTAATATCCTTCTTAGCAGCTGTCAAAAATGTTACAAGAAAGCTAATAAAGCAACCAACACTACTGGTACAACGGGATTTTGGAAACTGCTGAGAAAGACACACAGCCAGTAGTTTAGTACAGAAATTACTAAGAAAGCAAAAAGCAGGCTGTCATTTTCTTCTATGAACACAGTTCACTGAAATGCATAGATTAAGAGCTGAAATAGTTTTTCTATGAAAATGTTTCTAAGAATCCTACTAAACTTCATTCATGATTTGTCACATTTATCAGGTTAAAATAAACAGCCTGCACTACAGACTCTACTTTTTCTCTCCTTTGCTGCTGATCACTAGAAATAGCTGAACGACAAAATGATGTATTTATAGTTGTTGGCACAAACTTGGAATTTCTCATTTGACAGAATAAAATTAACATTTTGAAGACTGATTTTGCTATAAATTCAAAATGATTTGAGAAAACATCATTGAAACCTTCACATTTTCCTAAATGTCTTCAGATTTGATTCTTTACCCCAGAAGGGTACGCATTGCAGGTTTATCTAGTTTTTATACAGGTGGAGGAGATATGGAAAACTTTCAAATATCTTCAAAAAAAGTAATTAGTAGTGTACAAGCTTTGTATTTGATTTGCACAAGCTTTTTCACATTTGCTTTTTCTGTGAATGATGCAAGCACAGAGCACAGTATAGATGAATTCTTTGTTTGCATTGGTCACTGTTGCCTTTTATTAACCTACTGCACCAGTTTTCTCTCTAGCACCTTCCCTTTGGGATATTATTTTCAGAACAGTAGTAGAGGCTGGTGTGATAAATTCATTCTCCCTTCAACCTGCTGTGTTAGGTTGCTATACTAAAGCAACAAGTGCATGTATATTAAGGCTAGAGAAATTATAATAATTTAATTTGCCATGGATTAGAAAGTACAGAATTCAGAAATATACCTAGTGTTCATAATTCAAAGATATGTATGGTCATGACTTATAGAATGTGTGCTGGGTATTCCGTCACTTCCCTTGGTTATTTATTTAATATGTGCTGTATTTCTGCCTTACAAATTTGCACAGTTCTTACAGACTGTTTATCTCTAGAATACAGATCCAGATTCTGAGTTTATAATGTTTAGAGTCTTCTAATGTCAAAATCTTCCCCTCACACACGTATTTATGGCACATGGGCTTCTCCCTATCACAAGTAGTAACACTGGCAGCTCCTACAGTGACTACTCTTTTCTTTTTTTTTGGAATCTTTTCCTTCTAGGAGAAGACATCCCCAACTGCAAGACTTTTTCCTCAGTTGCATCTTTTAATCAAGAGTCCCCCATTTCTGTTCTCTTTGCATCTGAATTGTGCAATTCAATTTGAATGTATATATGGCTGATTACGTACTATCAACAGTAGACTTTGAGAGTGGAGAAGTGAGAGAGCTGTACAACTGTTCAAAAACTACAAGTAACTTGTTTTCTTTGTGAGTGTGATTGATGAGGGGAGACTCCATACCCAAACAGTCCTATGCCATTTCCTTTCTACTCTCCATAATTTCCCCACAAAACAGGCCACGACCTGCTTTGTTCTCCCTTCTCCTTTCCTTCTCATGCAAACATTGAGAGAACAATACCTAGGAGATCTTACTTCTTCCCAAAGGTGAAAAGGCAATAACCCAGAAAAAAAATGAATACATTTGAGGAGTAAGTGGGTTTTTCTCTCCTACCATCTAAACTACTCCCATCAGTAAGGCTGAAAATTCTAGCTGTACGAGCACAGGATTTATGGCTAAAAAGGAAAGGGGTCAAATGACCCCAAACCACTCCTAAAAGTCTCGGTGTTGTTGAGAATAATAATAATAATAAAACGTTCTGTTTCTCTGGGAAAAGGATATCATCCCAAGCCTCATATGCTTTTTTTTTTTTTTTTCTTTCATATCCAGAAAGAAATACAGGTATTTTAAATACAAATTCAACATAACTTGCTTTCCAGGAGAAAGAACAAAGAGAGAAAATATACTACAATGCCCTGGCTAGTCTGGAGGAATCCTTAATTCTCTCAGTTTTGTGCAAACAACTTGGGAAAATCAACTAAGAGCACATGCTCCCTGTTCAGTCAGTAGATAGAAATCACCTGTAGAAGATGAATCAGAGCGTCTGAGATCTGATTTACTTCCTGGAGACACTCATCTCCTCCCAGTGACTACAGAGGGAGTGAAGAGTGACAAAACTTAGCACATCAGAGCATCAGGTAGAGGCCTACAGCGAGCTGGCTTTCTATCACTCTGAAGAAATCTACTGTAAATGTATTTATCCACTTATAAAAGTAATTCTGCATAGTATGCTGATAAAAACAATGTTGAATGACCTAAATGTGGTACATGGCATTTCCAACTCTAAACTTTGTTTTTTCGCTGCTTTAATAAATTCTTCAGCAGATTTCACAGTGACATGTGTCCCATTGCCATTTTGACTAAATTACTAATAAAAAGACAAATTAATAAGTTGGTTATTACTCCTGGTTTGCAATACTAGTATAATATATAAACAAGTAGTTTGCAATAAGAAATGTTTGCATATTATCTTTTCTGTCTTCTCTGCAGAGCCATTTGTAGACCTTTATGGATATATACAACAAAGGTTAAGTTTTCTTCCAAAAACAAAGAAGGAAAATTCTATGGTTACATTGTACATATGCCTCATTCCCTCTCCTTTCACCCTTCATCTGCATCATGAGGTCAAGGATATATTCACATTTTGGCTTCTGTGCTTAACCTATCCATTAAATGGGAAATACTGTCCTTTTCTATAGTTATTATAAATTATTCTGGAATTAAGAATCATAGAATCATAGAATCACCGGATCACCAAGGTTGGAAAAGAACCTTTAAGATCATCCAGTCCATTTGTTCATCTATTACCAATATTTCCCACAAAAGCATGTCCCTCAGTACAACATCTAAATGTTACTTGAATATCTCCAGGGATGGTGACAATCTTCCATCTTCCTGGGCAGCCCATTCTAGTGCATGACCGCTCTTTTGGAAAAAAAGTATTTCCTAACATCCAACCTAAATCTTCCCTGGTGCAACTCGAGTACATTCTCTCTAGTCCTATTGTGAGTTACATGGGAGAAGAGGCTGACTCTTACCTCACCACAACCTCCTTTCAGGTAGTTGTAGAGAGTGATAAGGTCACCTCTGAGTCTCCTCCAGATTTAACAGTCACAGTTCCCTCAGGCTTCTCTTAAGGCTTGTGTTACAGACCCCTCACAGCTCTGAACACATGCTCCAGGGCATCAATGGCTTTCTTGTAGAGAGGGATCCAAAACTGAACATAGTACTTGAGGTGTGGCCTCACGAGGGTTAAGTACAGAGGAATGATCTCTTCCCTGCTCTTTCTGGCAACACTATTTCTGATACAAGCCAGGACGCCATTGACCTTCTTGGTTACCTGGGCACACTGCTGACTCATGTTCAGCTGAGCATCAACCAATACTCTCAGGTCTACACAGTCTTCCAGCCACTCTGCCCCAAGCCTGTAGCATTGCCTGGGATTGTTGTGGCCAAAGTGCAGGATCTGGCACTTGGTCTTGTTGAACTTCATCCCATTGGCCTCAGCCCAGCTATCCAGCCTGTCTAGATCCCTCTGCTGGGCCTTCCTACTCCCAAGGATGACCAACTTTTCCTCCCAACTTGGTGTCATCTACAAACTTACTGGGGGTGCACTCAGTGCCCTCGTGCAGATCATTGGTAGAGACACTGTACAGGACAGGCCCCAGTACCAGACCCCCAGGGAACAGTACTTGTGACCAATCACCATCTGGATGTGATTCCATTTACCACCACTCTCTGTGTACTGCCATCCAGCCAGTTCTTTACCTGGAAAAGAGTGTATCTGTCCAAGTAGACTGCCAGCTTCTCCAGTAGAATACTGTGGGAGACAGTGTCGAAGGCTTTGCTGAAGTCTAGGTTGACTGTGTCTACCTAGAAGAAGCCCAGCCAGGTACAAGTTAAAGTGTTAATTCGTGAAAACATTCTAATGAAGGAGTAAATCTGTGTTTGGTGAACTTGAGATCTTGAGTAATTTGTGTAGCTGCAGAGGTTTTTCCTCTTCTAAGCTTCTTTCTTTCTTTTGATATCGAAGACTTCATCACTTTGTAGCTCTGATTCATTAGGAAGGATTTGTAAGCTTCTAGAGATAACGAATACCACACATTCCATTGGGCCCATGCTCCACAGGTCTTTTATTGCTTTAAACAGATGACAGTTTCAAAGTGTTGGAAAAACTGGCTGAAAAAGAAGTCCGAGGCTTACTCTGTATTTGAATATGTTACCAATCCACTTCTACATAGCTTGCCAAACAAGCTGGGGCTGAATTTGTGACAAATTCCACAGAGGTAAAACAAGACAAAAGAAAGTCTATCTCATCATTTGCAGATTACAAATTCAACTAAGAGGCATCTGCGTGTGTTAAACTTGGAAATGAATCACATCCACAGCAATGGCAGCTGAATCTAGAAAACGCATGTGAGTTGAATTATGCTGTTTTTGAGCATGCTTGCAGACATAGGCATGAGAAGTTGAGTCATTCAGAGAGCTGGCATAGTTCAAACTGCCCCAGCCAGTGTTGATAGCAGTTATGGAGCCTGAGGAGCGGCTGAGATCCCTAAGATAGCAGTCTGCACAGAAATTTCACAGAGGTAAGCAAGGCAAATGGAACCCAAAAGAGTTGTGCCTGCAATTCCTGTGCATCCAATTGTCACAGCTATACCTCTCACCAGGATATGCCAGTAGTCTGCAGACACCATAATACATGGGAGGTTTGAAGGCACTGCACTGTGCTGGAGTTCTCTGCCAGGAAGACTACTCTCACTAGGATCTGCATACTCCTGCATAACAGACGTTGTGGTTTAATATGGTAAGAGTTCAAGCAATGTTTCCCTCTGCAAAACCAAATCCTGTTTTTCCTCCTCATACGAGAAGTCTCACTGAGCCAGAGGAACAAGCTGGGCTTGTAGGGTATAAAATCCTTTGAACTAAATTCTACCCTCAGTTATACCTCTGTGAGTTGAAGCATGTTTTGCACTTCACTGATGCTAGTTGGGATGTTTCTTTGCTATTGCAGAGGAAAGACAGCAGCTCTAGACCTTTTGACTCATTCAGAACTTCCAAGAGCATTTAGCATACTACTATAGTATGAACTGAAATATATGATTATTACTACAGTTATTTGATAATTTTTGCTTTCTGGCCACACTTTTATAATAAGGCATCCACTGTTCAGAACTGAGCTTCAGCTTCAAGTGAACCTGAAATATTTAGTGTAGAAGTCTAAAGAGGCTTACTGAGCACGTATCTGATTTTCTGATGCACTGATCTTGCGCAAGCATGTTTCTTTCTTTCTTATTTCATTGGTTGTTGTTTTTTTTTTAATTATTTTAATAAGACTAGTAGAACTTTTCTGCAAGAGAGAGGTACAGGTGTTTTTTTTCCAAGCAAAAGTAAAATAACACCCATAAAAAGGCTGGTTAATGGGGCAAAGGAATCTGCTGTGGACACTGAGATTGTGCTTCTGATCTCTAAAAGAAATGATTCTGATGGAATATATGAAATAAATATTTGTTAAAATAAATACTTCACAAGTATTTTATATTAATGATTTTGGTTGAAAAGGGTAGGGGAGACCAGAGAAGGAAGAAGCAAAAGCTTGTGTGGAAACTTAGCTTTAATAAGATCAAGTTTTGCCCTGCCATGTTTTGAAACGATCTGGAAAAGCCTGTTGCCTTCCACAAAGAACAAACACAGTTAAAATTACTAACGCAATGACTCTACTTAACAAACAGCTTAGTACCTGCAGACTTTCTAACTGGGTGTGGAGGTGTAATTGGCTCTTTTGGATCTTTCTCCTTGGACAGAAGCCAAAATAAACTCCCAAGCCAAGTCATCCTGATTTAAAAACCATTTTCTGAAGCTCTTGGTTCCCATGAAGGCCCAATATCTATTTAACAATTGGAAATCCAGATACAAGTGAAACGCTTCATTTAGAGATGTAAGTGGTGTACAAAGCAGATATGGCTTATACATTCATAACCTGGATGGAAGCTAGAGGTAGAAACTAGGACAAAAAGATTCCTGAAAGTATTGCTTTTCAGAGAAAAAGGGGTGGAAGGCAGCACAGGGAGCTGGGATTCCTGCCCTTCTGGTGTGATGGTCACCAGGGAAGAGTGGTCACAGAGTCAGGAGACAGACTAACTGCCACTGCAAGAAAGGTGCTTGGGACAAGCTGTGCTCTTGAGAAGTCTGGAGGGGACTTTCCCTCATCTGGGTGCTATCCAGTTTAGATACAGGATTACACTCAAGACTTTTCTACTAGTCTTTTTCAGAGATAGAGGATCACAGGCTTCGTTACTATTTGGTTCAACTTTTGCCCTGTGTTATATATATTTTTCTGAGTTTTGTTGTAATTGTTATTTTTTTATGCTGATGATTATTCAGAATGGCAGGCAAGTAATGCTTGCCACTGCTGAAATAATGCCATTCAGCCATCTCCATTTTCTTTCCTATACACTCTAACATGTTGCCTTCTTTTCTCAGTCTGCAAGCATGTCTGTAGTGCAGAGTGGCTCTGGTGAAAACAAACCCCCAGCCACAATACCTACTATACTTCAATCACAACAGAGATGAGCTAATCCATCCTTGGTAGAACTGAGGCCACAGGCAGTGCAGTAGATCTTACTGCATTTGTGCCAGAGAAAATTGATATTCTTTTTTTTTTTTTTAAACACAATTCTGAAGAAGCTGCATCAGGGAAGCCTCAATAAAAATAACAGACTGCCAACAGTGGTGTCATTTCAGCAGGGCTGATTTTGGAGATGCTGTAGCAGCATATAATGTTCAATAACTATCCTGACTTTACTGAGGTTACATACACAGTTTTAAGGAGCTATCTAAAGTCTTCCTGGCTTATCTGTTAAACTAGGGAATGCTTGCTCTAAGAACTAAAAATAATGAGGGTAAATTGTAATGCTAACATTAAGCAGAAAAAAGTCTTTTGAAGTATTGCCCTGTGGGACTCACTTAGGCTAGTTCAGTCAGGTTTGGGAAGTGCTAGGTGATGGAGGATATGAAAATGCAGAGAATCTGGGTTCTGACATGAAGGAAACACAAGCTCCCTCTCTAATCCATGACAGAGGTAAGGCTGAGCAAGACACAGGCAAACCCTCCAGAGAAGTTTAATGTGGAAACCATGTGAGAAGAAGGTAAGTTAAGTATTACTCATGCTATTTCAATACTTTTTGGCATTTTTTTCCTTTTTCTAATTTAAAAATATATGCTTTATGAAGCCAGAAAATTGTGGGATGCCCTGAGACAGAGCAGGACGCCCTTTGAGGCAGGGGACACTGGGACTCTCCTTGGCCTCAACGTGGCAGCCATTGCTCTGGGCCAGACAGTGTGGCAGTAGGAGCTGATCCTGCTTAGCTGGAAAATGCACTGTGCATACCGGATGATGGCAAGGATGAACTGAGGGCTAGTTTGCAGCATTCCGGTGTAGCCATTATTAAGAAATGATGCAAATTTTTTCTTCCAGGAGGAAACATCTGGGAATGTACCCACACTCTGCTTAACCGGCTTGCATGAAGTGGTTTGCCCTGTTTTTCCATGCAGGAAAAGCTGGACTCACCCTCTCTAAAGAACCTTCATTTTCTGACGAAAATGGAGTCAAGCTGATGTTCATCTGGGGGCAGAGTGAGATTCTTTTTGGCTGTCCCGGGGACTTTGCAGGAATGGCCTGTACATCTTCCCTGCTTTTGCTCTTTTCAGTCCACTTAAATCAAAGTTTTATCTTATAATTATTTTATTTTATTAAAATCATTATCTCTGATTCCAATACAATTTCAAATGTTTGCTACCAACAGCAATTAAAAAAAAGAAAAAATTACTTACATAGAAGTGGGTGATTCATGCTTCTGTGTATATGACACAGGTGCATGAAATGTCTTATTCCCCACCTTTTTCTGCTGCCAGCCAGCCTACACAAACATAGCTACTGACTATGAATAATAAAGTAAAGTAAAATAAAAACACTTTCAGAATTACTGAATTCATTTTACTTTCTGAAGAGGCAGAGAGATGATCAACAGAGATCATAGTGCATCTATGTTGTGAGTCTTTTTACTATGCATGTTTAATGTAAAATAGTCTTTTTGAAACAAAAATTTGGGCCAGAAAAGTCACCATTTCTATTATGCATTCCTATGATAATTTATGAAGACCAGTGGCATGAACTGCTAAAAGGCATCAAAGGGAAAAAATGTTCTTTTCAAGTTTTACATCTCAGGGGAAAAGCACTGAAAATACTGCAAATCTCTAACCTGATGCTAGCACAAAACGTACTCTCAGTTATACATGCTCACAGGCCATATGCTGCACTGCAGTTAAATTAGCACTTATAATTGTATGGTGATGTTCTGAATCTCTGCATGAATTGAAAGCTATATATAGATTTGCTTGTGATACTGCCACCTTCAGGAATTAAGTTTTATGTAGATTTAAAATAGCTGTAGTTGTGAGATGAAATAACACTAGAAGTAATGTGCTTATCTAATTCCCAGGCATGTAAATCTCTCAGACTGGGTTCCTTATTTATCTTATATATCACCTCTGAATTTAGCCTTCATAGTGTAAGGCTAAGAAATTCAATGGCAATTTAAGGCTGCTTCAATTAATGTGCCGAGGGGCCAGATAAACTTGTGCCCTGTTAAGCAGATAGCAAAAAGCATTCTGAATGCATAAAGACGACTCCCATTTAAACTGCTCCAACTCTGCTTATGCATTTCCCTATATGATTCAAAAGGATTAGATGTTCAAATGCTCTTCAGAGGTACCAGCTTTAGCAAAAGAAGATGTGGAACTAAATGAGCAAAATATTTTTCCATTCCTTTGAATTATCAGAGATTGTTCAAATGTGGCCTGCACTATCCTTGAATGAGAAGAGGATCTTCCAAAGTTTTAAATATTACTTGCAGTAGGATATTGACTATAGTTGACCTGTAATTAACACAGTTTGCAATAATGCAAAACTGTGATTTTAGATCTTGCTTTGAATAATTAAGAAGAAACATCTCAAATTTTTCATGTCCCAAGAAAGTAGCCTATTCAATTGGTTATTTTACACTGTACCTTACTCAGGCCCTTTTATTAGACAGACATGCTTAACAAATGAATGAATGTTACAAAAATTCAATTCACAGTATTTAGTCCAACTTTTCATGTCTGTGACATCTTCACCGGAGCTAGTCATGCAGGTAATCTAGGGTCACTGTCTGTATTCAGTGGAAATAGAGTAAGATCAGTCCACACAGGGCAATATTAATCTGATCAAATGCGGGCCTCTGGTTTAGAATAAGGCATCAATCAACTTCTGAGCAAATCTCTGCTGACTAAAAAAAAATTCCGAGTTCAGAAGTTTGTATCTATGTAGTAAACACACATTTAGTCAGTTCAGTCTCCCACAGTAGCCCACCTTCAGTGCATCTCAGGAATTCATAAGGACGCATGCATTGCGTTTTTGGAAACAAAGTTTAAATGTTTCCTTTGCTTTTTTTTCTCACGATCCTGTTACCTATCAGACTCTGTCCACTCCATAAAAACAATTAAATACTAACTGATTATCAAGCCTGGTTCTGTGACTGATCTCATTTTTTGAAAATATGGCTTCAACTTGGATTTGTAACATTGTACTGAAAACCCCAGTCAACAAGGTAACAGCTAGTTTACAAGCATTATTTTGATAAGAAACTCCCTCCTGATGCATAATTTTCTGAAATATTGAAAATCCTTCTGGATATCAAAATTTGTATCTTTCATGATCTTTATATGAAGAGGTAAGACATTCAAAAAATTACTAAATATTTATTTTCTGACTTGATAACAATGGCAATCACTTGTGTTAATGTTTGTCTTTGTGGTTCAAATGTATTTTGCTTACTGTCCATATCTCATAATTAGTGAACTAGGCTTCCTTCAGTACCACTACACATTGTGTATTTTACATAAAAAAGCATGCGGAATATTTTATAAAATTTTCAAGCTGTCTCTCCAACCAAAAATGTTTTTGCTTTTTCTTTTGCTGTCCTTTGTTTCAACTGGAACAAAAACAGCTCACATTTTATTATGTAATCTTCCTATGAATTTGCTCAAAAATTTAAGCTTTCCTGCCTAAAATTGAATGCATGCTGATGGAAAAAACCTTCCTTATGAAATATATTTTTTCTCATATCAGAAACGCAATTAGTGTTATATCACCAGTGAATCATGTATCATAACTTTAAACATCATAAGGGAAAAATGTAAATATCATGAATATTTTTATTATTACTCTTTGTCAACCAGTCACCATCTTACACAGTCCTTACTCCAGATAATATAGTAAACAGAAAGTTAATTATCCAGTACGAAGAAAAAAAAAGCTTAGCACAACAGCTTTGTAATATCCTTTTGTACCCTACAGATTTTATCTGCTTCTAACGTATTATGATCTCAGTTTTATAATTATACACAGGTACATAAAATAAGACTTTGCTTTGAACTCCTTGAAATACAGCATAAAAGAATTACACACTCCAAATGCAGTATTAGCTTGGCTTGCTGTAATACTGAAAGGTAGCAAACAGACAAATTAATCATGGGACAAAGGGCTTGTGTCTCACCCAGGGCTATACCACAAACCCAAGAAAGCCCAGTTTAAACTTTTGCTCAAGCCAGAGATTTTTTTTTCTGATGACTGGAATTGGAATTGGATCCAGAAAAGAGAGGATGCTATACAGATGCTATCAGGCATTAACTACTTCGCCTTGATAGGAACTTGAGGCAGATACCTGTTTCAAGAGTTAGTCTCAAGAGCAAACAAGAAATGGTGTAAATACATGCCTACTGCATCACTACAAAATAATTGCTCTTCTGATTCTCAAAGAAAGGTTGTAGCATAAGTTTTCAACTATTGCCCCTTTCTGCATCATTTACTACAGCTTTTCTCCCAGCAGTATTATATCCCTGGTGAAACAGCAATTTTCTTCCTTTCTGGTGTGCAAATTTAAGAAAAAAGAGTGTGAATGAAGATGGAAATGGAATGTGTTCAGTTGAAAAAACCTATGGAACAATAGCAATTTTTATTTTAGTATCTTCTAATAAGAAGAAATATTTGTAGTTGCAGGAAAATGTTTTTGTCTTCCCCTAAACTCAGTGATAATTATTCCTACATTACCACATTTTATACTAGAATTCATAGGAAGAATATGATAAGGATACAAACATACAAAAAACTTAGAACCAAAAATTATTTACATTTTTATAAATAATTATTTTTATTTCTATTAAGAATGCTAAATGCAGGTAAATAATTTATTTGTGCTTCTGCTTTCAAGCTGTTTTGTATAAATCAGGAGGCTGCCTATACTGAAATACATTTATGACAAATTCATAAAATGAGTACATTTTGAATTATGAGAAAAAGGCAGAAAAAGCTGCATTAAATGAGGCTGCTAGCTATAAGTATCTTACTAATCAATTGCTAATGATATCTGTGACAACTCCAAATTTCACAAAGAAATTGTGAAAGGCACTGGACCAACAGTATATCTCTTGTCTTACACAGTCGATGTACAGTACCTTAACAGCATCATTTAATCATCTCAACATTGCCACCATATGTACCATATGCAGTAACTACTGTATGAAGGGTTTGGTAAAATGTCATCTCCAGTTCATTACATTTAGGACATAAATATTTCTCCTCTCTTAGATCTTTCTCTTTGTGAAGAGTAATCACTTTCACTGTAAGAAGAACACAAACACACACAAAAACAAACCAAACAAAGCAAAACAAACAACATAGAATGAAGAGTAAAGAATTTTGTCAGAGGAGGTTTTATTTTGTACAGCAATTCAATTTTAATGTTTAGATAATTGCAGTCATAATTGGAATGTGTGATTTATTCAAAATGAGGAGCATCCATTTTGTATCCATTAAACAAATAAACAAACAAACATACAAACAGCAACAAAACCAATAATATTTCTCATGTTTTTGCTTTCAGGCCATGTCCTTCAGATAGCTAAAACAAAGCTCAGACTTGGTACAGTTCAATATTTTGGCCTGGTTAAAACAATGCAAAATTAAAAAAAAAAATCCCAGGTAAGTGAAATGGTATTTTATGAATCTCAAAAACCATGTGGAAGAGTTGTAGTTTATCAAGCATCTGATAAAAGTGGAACGCGAGACCTGGTTTTGATTCTTTAAAAATTGAGTGATGAGTTCACAAAGTAAAGAATGAAAGTTTTTCAGTATGGAAAAAAAAAATAAAATTCTTCTGCACAGGTGATCTGCATAGGCAGAAATTAGGGAAAAGTCTACAATGAAATCAGCCATTTCAAATGTAGAGAGGCACTTTAAGTCTCTTTTTCATATGCATTTCAGATTAGTTTTCATATTGGTAAAGATATGAACTGACTGTAAGTCCACCAAATAATAAAATGATTCTTTTTTTTTTCTTTTTTTCTTCTTGATAGAAAAATTTACTAGTAAGAATTTTGAGGTTAAGGCACGTAGTGCAGGAGTTTCCACCTCTTATTCTCTCTGTCATGGTTAATACCTTCTGTGATTGAAGAAGCATGGTGAGATGCATCACTTCCCAGGATCTGTTTTTCCCTCTGAAAACAAAGTTGACCACATAACTTTAAAATGCTATTTTGACTGCTCAAGTAGTCAATGTTTCTAAATGTTTTAGGCTTTCCCAGAAACATACTTGCATATGTGCTGTCCTATGAGTAACACAATTTCATTTCTTGGCAGAGATGAAGTCCTCCAGGGCCTTCACATGGGACCAGTTCAAGGCCCTTTGTAAACAGAGCCTTAATCCATGCTGGTAAAAGGAAAGGGTAAAACAGCTGGAAGTGCTGCGGTGGTTATGACTGCAGAGGGAAACACAGTGGTACTTTCAGAGTACTCTGCTTTTCAGGAAAGGTTTGAAGAGCTAGCTCAGGAGGGAAAAATATAAGGAAGGAAAGGTAGGCAGGCACATTACCCATGTTGAGGGGATGAGGGAAGCTCAAACAGCATGGAAAAGGGTCTTCTTCTGTTTTGTTACAGACCACCTTACCTTTGTATAGGGAGAACCACACAGGCCCATTTCAGCTTGTTATTGTCAAAGAATTACAGTGCCTTTTGCATATTTGTTGCCTAGTTAGCTCTCCATCTCATATTTGTGAAGCTAAATATTTTTGTCCAGAAGCAGTATGTTTTTTTACATACACAGATGGAATTGCTCCTTTAAAATCATAAAGGCTACATATACTGATGGATAGCAGTGAAGACAAACTCCCTGTTGTTACACTGAATAGAATTTGTTCCCTTTTCTAGTTTTCTAGCAGTAAAACGTGTATTTTGTGTTTGTGTGTGTTGATGTGGATTGAATGGAGGGCTCAAGTATATGGAAATCATGTCAGTAAATCATTCCTAGCATTTATACCTTACCATGCATGTTACAGCTTGGTTTTCATAGCATTCCACTAACACAGATCAGAACATTACTTGCTCTTATGAGTATCTACTGGCCTTGTTCTGGAGTGCTACTTATCTGCATATCTCTGAAAAAAGGAAAAGAAAGAAAAGGAAGCCTAATCTTGTAATAATGTTTTAGACTTCACAGTTTTCTAAAGACGGAATACATTTGCTGTTTAATGTTCATTACAGCGTTAATAGTTTCATTTGGCTTTCTGCAAAAAGGGAGATAAATAAGAGTGGGTAAAACTGGCTGGAGGTAGATTTACTTTGCTAAATCATTCCTCCTAGTTTTAATTTTACCGCATAAAGGACAAGTGAGTATTTCAAATCTGAGCTGGGTTTTATATCACCTTTAAGGGAATAGTAATTAGGAAAGCGATAAACACATTAGAAAAACATAAACAGTGAGAAGGGCAAACTTTTTTCATCTGTTTTGTTGTGGTTTTGTATGTTGATGATACGGTAGATAGTGAAGATATAGAGAGGCTTACAGACTCTAAATACAGAACAAGATATTACCTGTTGCTTAGCTTTGACTAAGTAAAGCAGTCCAAGAAAATACCAGAAAATGGTCATGACAAGTTGTTCTCTACTTAATTGTTATGCAATTCAATGTATTTCATCATGCATATTAAAATTTTTGAAGAATAGTGATTGGGCTTGTTTCTCAATTCACTTAATTAATATCAATTTATCAAGAGCTGCTTTAAAAAAAATCAGTGCTATTATGCATATGTAAAAAGGTGTAATTGATAAGTACACGAGGCCCACTGTGTATATAGTTGCTCACAGAAGTTGCTTTCTACTAAGTAGTCACTCTCTACTTCATTAATCTCTTTCCTTTTACAGTTATTTATAAAGCAAGAAGTAGCAATTATGCATTTATGTCTTTATGACTATAATTATTTTCTGCACACTTTCGACAGGGACAAATGACTGCAGAAGCAAGAGTTTTTAATTGTGAAGGTCATTTTGACTGAGTAAGGGCTGCAGCACTCTGCTGTCAGGTAAAATATTTTGAAGGACTGTAAATGGAGTCAAATTGTTCTGAAGACATCTTCCTTTTTATTTTTCAAAGCATTTCCTGTCTAAATGACTAATGTGACCAGTGACATATAACATGATCATGCTTATGAAGTAAGTGTAAGTGATAATGCTCCTGCTTGGCTCAAAATCATTTATTATGGATTGAGCTGATTTACTATGCTGAAGAAAAAAATAGCTAATATTTCTCATGTTTATCATGTTACTGAAGTCTTAGTTATAATTAACTCTTTTGTGGGAGCAGTGTCTTAGATAGAAATAAAAGATCATCTTTGCTAATGATTAAATAATTTTTGTAGAATATTTTGACAGTTTCTAATCTCCTAAAATCAATAATACTTGCAGAGGATTCTTCTTTGATCATATTTATTCCATGAATCATTTTTACTTCAGCTTGTAGAGAATGTGTTATCACATCTGGAGTAAAATCTTTTGTAGAATTATATATTGGAGTTGAAAGAGAGAGCACCTTGAGACTCAGAAGAGTCCCACAAGGCTGAGATGAGAAACAACTGTGTTTAAGGCCTGACAAAAATAAACAAGCAATAGATAAGGACTGAGATAATGTTGGCTGTTAAACAGATTAAAACATTAAAATCGATTTTTTACAAACAGGTTTATCTTCTCAATACAATCTTTTCAGTGGCAGGAGGCAAATGTTAAACAGATTTGCGGAAGCAAATGCAGTGTCGTGCAACAAGAATAAGGCTTGAAATGGTACTGTAGGTCAAAGAGGAACAATCTATTCCAAATGATCAAATACTGGTGTTAATTGTAGTGTACTGCATTGTACAAAGCAATGAATAGAATCATAGAATCATAGCTATGAAAAAGGTACACAAGGAACTGCAACTGTGAACTTGTTTTTACATTCATTTCCTATTTATCAAGAGAGTAAGAAAAATGCAGGTTTTTTGTCAGGTGTATTTATTGACTATACATTGAAGCCACATTCCATTTGCTTTCAAAGAAGAAATGCCCAGACAATTTGATGGGTTTTGCATTAGATTTATCAAGGAAAATAAGACACTCATACAATTAAAATTACCGTAAAACGTCAATTTTGCATTTACAGGAACACTGAATTTTCCTATGTTGAAGTGATATGACTGTTTAATCTATATGACTCATTCCTTTAGCAGTTAATTCCATGCATTGATTATTCCTCTAAATTTCCTTTTTTGCTGAAGCTAGCATCATTTTGCCAAAGCTGATGAGGGAAGGGACACGCCAGTGCATTTTATTGAATCTTGTTCTTCACTGTCCAATTCACTGCAGTCATCATAGGTTTGTGTGCAGGCATAATGCACCCCAGCATATGCCTGATATGGTGCCCTGCTAGCCTGGGACAAGCCCAGTGCTGCTGCAGGCTGGCTGGGAACCTGTAAGCCTCCCTGCTGAAAGCACAGAGATGGAATATGCCCTCAGGAATTAGGGGAGGTGAGGTGCTCCTAAGTATTCTATTTGCATTGCCAGTCCTAAATGACCCAATAAAATGGTATAAAATGGTAACTGCTCTATGTCTGATTATGTACTTCTGGAAAAAAAATAATTCCTCTTTAGTATCAAAATGATTTAAAAATATTGCTGAAATGAATGACTCATACTCAATAGTGATAATTACAGATATATATATATATTTCAGTGGGCATTTGATTGGCAATGTGGGAATTCTTCCAATTGCAGGAATAGTGATTTTCATGCTTATACGCAGGTATGTTATATATATGTTGTACACAGACAGGCATGTTTTCAAACAAACCCAACAAAAAATTTTTCTTATTTCAAGCAACCTGGGAGAAGAGCACACTGTATTTACTGCCTGGAGGTTATAATCACATAAGGAAACAAGGCACGATCTTAACATATTTCACCCCTGGCATGCCTGCTCTATTTTCAAAAACACCGGGCTGAAATCTGAGCCTCCTGTGAACACTGAGAAGCCTTCATCTGCAGCCTGCAGCATGGCCTGGAGATCATCTCTGCGTGCTTTTGTGGTGCGACCGCAGCGCAGAGGAAGGCAGAGGACGCAAAGCAAGGCTGTGAAGCATGGCCTGGTTAATCACAGCACACTGTGTGCAACCATGCCTCAACAGGGAATCCCGCAGACAGGCAAACCAGCTGGGACAAAGCAACAGCTTCCCTTCCCTGTGGGTCCCTTCCAGCTCAGGGCATTCTATGATTTTCTGTAGAATGAAAAGTAAAGTTTACACTGAAACCCTGTATTTTCTCAGTCCTGTTGTGCTAGCTAGTTTTAGCCAGTTCTAGAAGCATAAATACCTCACACTTAAATAAATGTGGAGACATTTTAGAATGTTATCGCTTTGGAGCCCAGCCCCATCTCGCAGCCTGCTCACCAGTGTGATAGTGAACCAGTTCCTCAGGTGCGGCAGTTCACCTCCCAGCACGTTAGCTTGTACCAAAACTGATCTTGGTTTAACGTAATGCACTCAACCATGTATTATGCTGGCCAAATGGTGGCCCAACCTTGCTGACTCTGTGAGAAATTGAGGAGGAAGAAATCCTTGTGTGCTCTGCTGTCTTGCTCTGCTCCAGCTGTGAAGGTTTCTCATCTTTCCCCACAATTTTTTTTTTTTTTTTGCTTAAAGGAACCATCATTCTCCAGCCTGAACCTATGTGTGAACTGCATTTTGTTCAGGCCTCTCTCTGGAGTGTGTGCTGTACTAACTAATAGCCGTATAGGCTGGAGGTTTAGTAGTATGGGGCAAATAAGAAAAATAATTGTGATTCTTGAGCATGCACATGAGATGCTGATGGTAGAGTCACAGCATTTAAAAAGGAGGCATATGGGGAATCACAGCATGTCCACAGGATGAATAGGAGACTGAAAAAAAAAGAATAGTGTGGTGTGAGGCTAATGAGGAAATGGGGTGCACCCTTGCTCTGAGCTATGCATTGGACTTCTGCCGTCACCAGCCCTGTTAGCAAAATTTTAAAGGGTGCTTGAATACATGAATCCTGCTCTAAAATGCTAACTGAAGTGTTTCACAGCTCAGAGAAAATATTTTGCATAGACCTTAAAAAGAAACCTCTCACTGAACACATTACTTGGTATCTCAGCATGAGAGCCAGCGTATAGCCAAACAAAACCACATTCCTCTACTTTCCAAGTGTCTTAAAAAAGTTATTGCCCATTAAGTGTTTGTTTTCTCTGCCTGAAGTTGAAACCACAGCACTGTAAACACGGCTGTTAACTAACCCTATTTGAGGTTTTGACTGAAACCCTGCTCAGATGCAAGATTCGTTTGTTGTTGGAGGATTCAATGTTAGTCCAAGCCCCAGAACAAGCCCAGGTGATGGCAGAGTGCAAGCATCATGCTACTGGAGCTATGAAGACAGATGGGCTCCTCCTGTTCAATGTTTCTGCAGAGGGAGCCAGGGGATACCCTGCACCTGGTGCATCCTGGTGACCCCTCTTTTCCCCACAAATGGGATGTCACATGGCAGAGTCATCACTGCAGAGCAGAGAGTACAAGCAGGATTCACAATGTGCTGCAGCCTGAAAATAAGGAAGGTATTCTGTTCAGAGCCTCCTGGTACACAAGGGACCAGAAGATAATTTTTTATCCTTAGAAGTATGGAGATACAAAAAGACAAATCTACTCAAGCAAAGATGAAATTTAAAGTCTTAAATTCTTTGATCCCTTTTTAGACATCTAGCTCAGGCCTAACATTGAGCTCCTTGGAGCTGATGTTAGAGGATAAACAGCACATCATCCTCACAGCCTCATAAAAGCTTGACTGAAGAGAAATATGTGAAAGTTTGTACTTTATATCTGGGAGTAGAAATACGTGCCACTTCATGTCTGTAAGGAATAACATTTTGTGTTTTTATCAGATACATTATAATATGGTCATTACAAAATGTTGTTTGTACCTTCTGTATAGAACATTTATTTTGCTTAAACACCTGAGTAATGAAGAAGACAAGTGGTATTTATTATTCTTTTATTTTTAGAGTAAATTAATTTCCAAAGAATGTCAAAGTTCATAAAACTCTCTACTCTTTGGATATGGCAACTCTGAAAACAGAAGTAAAGTTTCCTCATCTTGAATTTTTCCTTGGGTGTGCAAGTTAGCCTTCAACATTCAACATTACTTCAACATTCAAAAAGAGATGAAAGAATTAAAACTCACAAATTGCTGATAATTTGTCTGCTGTGACCTCAGATGGCTACTTCTCAGTAACTTGAATATTCATGTGAGGAGTGTGATTGAAGCAGGGTCAAGAGCCCAACCATATGGGTACACATTGCGGTGCCTGAAGAACTACAGATTGCAAAAATTTAGTATTTACAACATTATGTTTCCACAGAAATAGGCTTATTTTATTAGCTGAGTGATCTGGTGAATTGGAGTTTAGTGGGTAAAGAAAACAATTTCTAATAACATTTCTAATCATCTTATAGCTTTAATACATAGTTAACGTATTTTTTCTAATAGCAGAAGTAATAATCACTACATGAGAGGAAAGAAGAAAAGTCTTCTGTTTCTTTTTTTTTAAATTTATTTTTAATAACAACAATGGCTTTTACAATGTGTGTTTGTAACTTAATGATAGAAGAGATCTACTGCAGTGTTAAGTATGAGGGTAGAAGCTGGGTTTGAATTTCTCTAAATAACACAGCCACAAATTCATTCAATTGGGATATTACAAGTATAAACAAAAGAAGAATCAGGCTAATAATCCTCAAAATGGGAAACAAATAACCAATTAATTCTATATTATTTTAAATCTTGTTGCATGTCTAAGACAGACAGGGAAGTCAGGGGATTTGCCCAAGGCTACAGATAGAGCTGGAAATGCATCAAGGATTAAAAGAGAGGAGAAACTGATTATCATTCAGCTCACACTTCTTATGGAATGTCCAGAAAAGACCACACACAGCTTTATCAGTTACGTGAGACTATCTGTCTCTTCCTCTTGTTTAATAAAACCTATTTAAAACAAGGGTATCATGTCTAAAAATGGAACATATATGGTATAAGTGATTAATTTATTTCATTGTACAGTCTTTGAAAAGTGTAGCTCCTAAATAGGTCAGGTGCAGATCCTGCCTTGTCAGCACACTGATTACTGTACATATTGTTCTTAAAACTGATGCTATCAAAAAAGAATGTGTCATTGAGTTTCATCTTTTATATGAAAGAAAGAAAAAATAACAAATCACAAAAGTGATTAAACCACACCAGGATGAGCAATGAAGAAATGTTACAGCATCCACTGTATCCATATATATATAAAGCATATATATATGATGCATATACATACATACACAAATATATATATATACTTGTTGCAGAGTGCATGCAAGAGTATAGATTTTATCACCTGCGACATCAGGATAATGCATAAACTCCATAATGCGGTTCTAGCTGTATAAAGACAGATCAAAGACTCAGCCCAGGCGTGTCTCCAGAGTTTCATGGCTGAGGGCTAATTATTCACAAAATGTCCCCGCCTTAGAAAGTTGTCTAACAGGTTTATCTTTTGGCTTGTAGACATTTTAGAGAAGATACTACCTAAGCTCAGCTATTTCATAGACACGCTACAGCACTCAAAACAATTTCACTGGTTTTATGAGATATTTGACCAACTGCAGTTACATGTGAATGTAATTTTCTCTTGCAGAAAGGAGACAGGAATTTCCAACACCTTGAGATCACACTGAGCTCCGTTTCAAGCCAACTGCAGTGAACAGACAAGAAGCAAAATACTGTAAGCATCAGTGACGCTTTTAGATCTATGAAGAGTGAACCTATTAAAAACATCTACTCTGAACATGACAAAATGCATGAAACATTGCACAGATCATAAAAGAAGATAAATCCTTTAGAAACACAGCAAGTCTCATCGCAACTTAAAAAAAAGTATGTATGTCTTTTAGGAGCCTTTTTAAAAGAGAATAGATACATTTATTTGCTTATGAGTCATCTGCTGTGATCAAGCAAAGGATTTATCTCAATCATCTGTTCTTGTTCTAGCTACGTGAGGATTAGCAAAGAAAAACAATGGAACTTTGAGACAGAAACTGTCATAGGCAGCAACTTAAAGCTAAACTGCAAGATAATCTTGTCTCTTGTTGCAGTGCTCTGAATCAGTTCAATGCTTTCTTCTGGATTTTTTTTTTTTTCCTAATTGCTCAACTGAACCACTCAGGACCCTCACTCAATTGTTTAAGAACTATACAGAAAACACTAGCCATTTTTTTTTTTTTTTTCCACAACTAGCAGCCCATTTATTAGAGTGGTTTCCAATAACATATTTAAATACATTATTTTTTCCTAGCAGTAGAGTTTGTGGGGGTATTGGTTCTACTGCCTCTGTTCTCATTTGAAATACTGTTTCTAATTTCTTCTCTGCTGTAGTTTCCATATCTACCTGTTAGTAATATCTGGATCAGTTACTAGTCACAGTAATGACTAGTCTTGGAAAGTATCAGCACCTGTCACATACAGTTTTCAAGAGGCAAGAGAGCTAACCAGTTAATTTAAATGAATATTTGAATTTAACAGTGAAAGATGAGATTCTTAGTGCAAATTCTCTTCAAAGACAATACAATTTCCATCTGACTCAGGAATGAGTAACAATTTCACTCAAGAAGGTATTTGAGGAACTTCTCAGCCTCAAATAATATTACAAACATCAACAAACCGATAAAATAAGGAAGGTGAGATGGTGTCTGTTCCGTGATAAGGATATTTTATTAGAGGAAAGAGAAATATACGTGAATGATTGTGTGAATTCTTGCTGGGATCAGGAATGGTAGGCTTTTAATGCTGTGTTTAGTCCAGTAACTACACCTCCCATAAAATACTACATCCAATTATTAAGGGCTATCCCTTCAGAGACAGATTGACTGGGTCACTGGACAGGATGCTCTGGTATTGCCACAGGCCACCAAGAGACTGGCTTTCTCTTCAGGGTAGGCAGGCAAGTATCCTCTTTCCCTCAGTAAAACAACATGTTAGCCACTTAACTTTATTAGGTGGTTAGGCACTCATGAATAAGAAAACAGAAACTGTTTCTGAGTTTTGTGGCTTCAGAGAACTCTACACCCTTTTGGGAAGATAGAATTTGTACTGGTATGCCAACTTAATACTTTTGATGCCAGTGAAAAAACTTTGTTTGACCTTCTTAACACTGTAAAAATAAAGCTGAAATAAAATAAGTGATGCTTTTTAGGGCGATTCTGATTCCAGGTGTGATTTTCCCTTTGTTCAGTTTGCGTTCTTTGTGATCTTTGTTTGTTTGTTTTTCCCCTTGATTTCCAATGCTGAAGATCTATGTGCAGTGTAATTTAAAAAAAAACAAACACATGACTATGTTTTGAATGGCACTTTCTATACTTTTTGAGAAGACTAATGTTCTTTTTCAGTTCAACAATATAAAGAAGAAGACTTCAAGTTGCAGTATCCTAAATAACTTTTTACATATTTATTAATATACATCCTGTCTTCAGTAAGTTATGACTGGGTTTTTGGCAAAAAATACAGTTATTGTTTAAGTCCCACATAAAACAAAAAGTTCAAAAGAATTCTTCACAGTCTTTTCAAAACAAGATTTTTAAGTGACAGCAGCTCATAGAAGAAAGTGGGAGTTAGCTGGGATGTTAGCACCAGGTTCGGGAGATGGCTTGAGCCATCAGACAACAGGTTAATGCAAACAAAAACGGTCTTGGCATAGGTAGAGAGATAATGGTATCTGAAATGAATGATAGCTTCAAATACTTCTAATACATAACTGTGATTTCATTTACTTGATTTTAAGCATTTTGATCTCATGCATGAAGTAAGACTTGTTAGTGATGTGATGCCTAAGATGGTTTTAATCAGAGGAATTAGAGGAATGTTTCCTAGCAACTGACTGTTAATATAGGTTTTCATGACCACCTGCAATCTTCATTAGCTAAAATGCAAAGTGTTGTGAAAACTTTGCATAGATGATTGTTTGAAAATTAATCACAGGATATGGGTCATTTTATATTAATTATTAGCCTTTTTCTGTTCAACTCACTGAAAAAAAATGTATAAAAGAAGTCTCTGTCACTTGATACCATGCCATTAGAGATATATTTTTTTGCAATTATCTAATAGCAAAATACTGGATTAATCGGTAGCACATGTTAAGTACAGAAGTTTAATATGTTTCTTGGCTTTGGGCTCTAATTCATGTGGACTATCATAACCTGCATGCCTACTAACTTCAGTCTAATGGGTGGGGTTTAAGTAAATGCAAAATAAGTAGTGTTTATAATAGCCTATACATTATTTAGTGTAAATAGCTCTAAATAAACTGCATATAAAACAACATAACAAGATGACACAATTTGCTACTGTTACTGTGTACAGAACATAAATCATTTCTTCCTTTTGGAAAGGAGGGAGAGGAGGAGACTACAGAGAACTCCTTCAGGGACACAGTGCCTCCTGAGAGTACCCTAATGTGAGCTGGAGCACACCAGTCATGCCTGGCTCAGAGATCTGACCTGAAATGTCTGCCAAACTAGTATGGAAATAACAGCAAGGAGCTGATTTCAAGTGTAAATGCGAGGAAAAATTTCTCCGAAAGAGGGGTCAGGTGCTGGAATGACCTGCCCAGGGCGGTGGTTGAGTCACCATCACTGGAAGTGTTCAAGAAATGTACAGATGTGGTACTAATGGACATGGTTTAGTGGGAAAATATCGGTGGTAGATGGACAATTGGACTTGGATATCTTGGAGGTCTTTTCCAACCTTGGTGATTCTATGATTCTGTGATTCTGTGAGAAGATATGTAGTTCACCTGTGCACACATGAAATTAGAAACAGAAGATCAGGATGTGAGAGATTTTGTAGACTAAAGTCTTCAACTGTGACTTGAGATTTCCAATTCTCTGTTAATACTGTGTATTTCGGAGGGGAGATGAAGGGAAGGAAGCGCTGCAGAAAGCGAAGCTGTGGGCAATATGAATATATAGTCAGTATTTTCAGGAACTTCGCAAGTATTTAAGAAGTTATGGCTGGCAAATAAGAACCAGAAAGTTAATATTTTCATGAGCTTCTGTAGATGACACACCTTATTTTAACTGATGATTATACAAACCATGAACTATGAAGATAATTGCTTCCCTGGCCAAATGACAAAAGAATTCTTATTTCCAGTATATGCCCTGTTGAATGCCGAAGGCATTGTGCATGCTAAGGCTAATGCTTTGCTGTATAATAGACATCTACTGATTAGTAGTTCTCAAGCTTAATTTGGTTGTGGTATGATAAATTAGGGAGTGTCTTTCTAAGTAAAACTGACATAATGCTTTTTTTTTTTTTTTTTTTTTTTTTTTTTTCCACTGGAACTATAATAAATCAGTTCTTCCAACATAGCACCTCCAGAAAAGCTCATTACATTAAAATGAAAACATCTTCTGTATTCTATATATTTGACATTTTTAAAAAATGATCTTATTCTTTTCATACTTGAGTGTTCAGCCTGTTTAATTGCTTTCTAAATCACATTAAGCAACGGGAGTACTGGCTCATGTATGGCTCCTTTGTCTATACTTTTCCTCAGGGGAAATTATGTTTTTCTTTACTTTGTACCAATGCTTTTATCTGTCAGAAGCCAAGAAAGGATGACTTTGGTGATTTGGCTTCTGAGTGGGTTGCATACTTTTCTCTAGTTTGAACCCTTGTAAAGGGAATGAACCTATTCAGTGCATATATCTCGGGGAGATTTCTGACAAGACTGGTGCTGGAGTTTCATTGTAAAGGGAGAAAACAGACAATGATTGTGATGGTGGCATCTTACTAGTAACTATGTGAGAGAGCATAATATCCCTTGCTGGAATGAGGGAGAGGAAAATGTTCTTACATCTTCTAGTTTTTACATGTTCTACATGTTTTTACATCTTCTACATTAGATCTTGGACCTAAGTGTGACTTCTTAGCCATCGGGTAAGGCACAAAAGCACGTGCAGCTGGCAGCACAGTTTCTCTGGATATGCATAAATATCTTCATCTTGACAAAAACTGATGAGTTTTTGAATGCTTGTGAAAAGTATACCTGTTTGTCCCAAATCAAGTTTGCCCTTGAAAACATGATTCACACAATTTAAAAGCCTTGAGATTGAAGCTCTGAGATAAAACAAATATGGAATCTTAATCTGGTAAGGCTGGACATCTGGTGTGGTTGTCCACAAATCTAAAGGCAGGAATTCAGACCAAGCAGGTGACCACAATAAGGCTCTGAGTACTGCTCATACAAGCAGGTGCTGTGGAGCCTAGTGGACACCACAGGACCATGCATGGCAACCTGATGTAAAAAGTTTGGAGATTACCTACTTAGACTAGTTAACCCTGTACAGGACTAAATAATTTTAGATGTAGTAGTCTGTCTAGAGGACACTGGAGTACTTTCTTACATGTTCAGGTGCCATCATTTACTATCTGGCAGTTCTATTGCAACAGGTTAACATTTGAAGGACAGCATAGACCCATGGCTAGAGCCAAGATTCCCTGCCTTTTTTTTTTTTTTTTTTTTTTCTGTGTTACTTCAGGAAAGAACTACCCTATTTTTCCCCTGCTGTCATACTCGTTGGCCTGCCATATCTGAACCTTTCCCATCTTCTGCTGTATACCTACTCAGCGATACATCAGATATAGTCTGCAATCTCTTCTGTGAAAGGGCATGAGCAGCAGAAAATGCTTTCTTTTTTTTTTTTTTTTGTCCTTTTCTTGTAGTGGGGATACCCTAGTCGAGTTCTGAATAAAGTCTCTTAGAACGTAAGGACAGGGAGCCAAATTATTACCAGAAAATGCAGAATGCATGCCAAAGCAAATGCATGGAACACGCAAAAAATATTTGTTCAGGCAAATACAAGGCTTTATAGACATCAAAGAAGCAGGAGGGAGAAACTTGACACCATCCTCTGTGACATGTTTGCACTGCGGTGTGCACGTGGGAGTAGTTACCAAAGATCAAAGGTCGTATTTCAACAGGGGAAAAGAATAATGTATTCACACACACGTTTATTATTCCCAATTAACTAGAAGATAAACATAACAGTTATTTATACATTTTATGGATTCTGTCTTCATATTTGTGGGCCACAGTCAAAACCCACTGACATTACTTGACAGACTCCACCTCAAATTTAATATCGCATGAGAACAGCAAAGCTCATATGACAGGGACACGGTGACTATTAAAGTGTTCTTACTATTGCAGGCCCAATACTATAAGAATATAAAAATAAAATAGAGTCAGTGCCAGTGAAATTTCTGTAATGGACATTGTTAATCATGCCTTAACTAGCATGTGCTTCTATAGATATTTCAGCTTGACAACTATTGTCTTGCGGAAGACATCAAAGAATTGTTTGAATTTTATAAATAATTATTTTTTTTATTAATAAGCAAGCTATTAAAAGTGTGAATGAAAAAGAAGAGAGAAAGCAACAAAAATGATACCAAAATGATAAATATATTAAAAGCAGAACCCTTTTCTAGTCACAAAAATACAGAATGGTTAAGGCGGAATGAAAAGGACTTCAGGAGACTGCCTTGTCCAACAAGGCTCAAGCTGGATCACCTATAGCATGTTCCCCAGGACTTATCATTAAGCTAGTTATTCTTTTTAATATCAAGAAAACATGACTTCATCCTGCTGTGGAGTCTATTTAGTAGTGGATGTTTCAGGTGAATGTTAGGAAGGCTGAATCATCTACCCTCTCTAAGTACACAGCAAATACCATCTGTCATTCTTTCTGCATGTTTTAAATATGAGAGTACCACTACAGAAAACTAAGCTTGGAAAACTATTCACATATATCCACTTTCTAAAACTGCCATGTGGTTGAACGCCACACACATAATGAAGCATGCGTAGCTGAAAGGCAGAAGCCAGCATGTGACTGTCCCAGCTGTTCACTACACCATTTTGGGCACATATGGTGTGGATGTGCATCTGAGCTACAATGTCACCCAGAAGTCCCTGTTTACTCACTTCTCTTCTAGCCCAATCGTCATGTTGATTATCTCATTTCTTCTTCCTTTGCACTGAGGTCCAACATTAATTGAAACCATTCTAGAATTGCAGTGGTTCAAATATTTAATAGTGGCTGAAGAAGGAAAGGACAGGTCAGGAAAAGTTGTGATGAAGAGGAATGACAAGAGAAATTTATTGTTTCAAAGAAATAAGAAGTT